CACACACACAAACACACCGACAAACCATTAGACACACTTAGCGAATTATATAAAGTAGGAAGATACATAATCTCTCTTATTTATAAAGCAGTAACTTAGGGTGTCGGTTTGTGTGTTTGTCGGCTTGTAAGTTTGTAAATTTGTCGGTTTGTCGGTATGTCGGTCTGTCCGGTCAGCAAAAGTTTGTGATTACGACAATGGTAGTGACATGGAAAACCCAGTTTTATCCTACCTTTTTCTTCTTGTATATAAAGCAGTACCTTGGTGGGCAGGTTAATGGAGTAGTGAAGTAAGAAATGTGAAGTGGATATTTTAAAGCCGTGATTTCAATCTGTACTTTCATCGTTCTATGTACATATGTCTATACAACAAGGTGGGCCAATTGAATATTCAACTCATAACCCATCCTAGCTTTCCGTTTTCTCACTCTCACTCCGGCGCTCCTCCCTCCAAAGGCTTAGGCTGTAACTATATTCTTCCACCTAGAACCCCTCGAAGCATAGGTAAAGTCAGCTCATATTTCCACCCTACTTGGGTGTGAACGAATTCCGCTTCCTATCTTGTTTGTTTTCAAAAGCCGATCGCCAAAATAATGNAAACGTTTTCCTCTTTTTTACTTCTTGTTTTTGCTTTCGAGCTGTCCGTTGCTAATTCGACTTTGTCTTTCTTATTATTCAATCGGTGAACATTCAGGCAAAAACTCATGGGAACAAGTTGAACATGTTTCGCTCTCTCCTTCTTTTCCCACAAAAAAAGCATTGCAGCTCTAAAACCAATTTTAGTCTTCTTGCGGTCTTACATTGTGGTGAACTTCTGTCAATTCGTTTACACTCAGTTGATTCTGTGGGCTTTTCAGTGGCCTAAATGCTTGCCATCGAGTGCTCGAGCCTCCTCTTATAATACCACTCAGATCGCGGGTCTCACCTTGCGGTGACGAAGTCGGAATGCTCGACTGACCACCCATCCGTAAATTTTTGATAATGAACGGTCAATTGGCTTATACCAGTCAGATTGCCCCAACTACACTGGACTTCCCTCCTTCTTAAGCCAGAGTAATAATAAACGGCTATCGGCCACTACCTCTTTGGAGCAATTGGTACTCTCTGAACACGAAAATTGGCAAAGCACTAACAGGACAGTACAAAGGTATTCAATATGATCCAATACTTACACCTATGATTAGAAGTATTGTTCTGTTTTTCTTCACCTCAAATTAATCACCCATTGAAAGTTTGGCTGTCAAGCAGCCAAAGCTTTCTGTTGTCGACTGATGATCTCACCATTATCGAGTGTTCTTATTGATGGGACTCCTTATCTCTAAAAATATATCATTAGTTGAAAATCTCGGTGAAAATGTAGGCCAATTATTGGGGGTCATATAGGTTTTAGCGCGAATGGAAACCGTGGTCCTTTATTGAGCCACAAACCTCGCCTTGTAAGACGTAATCCAGGAGCAAAAAAAAAAGAAGAACCAAATTTTCATCTTTTTATAATGTAGTGCCTTATCGGTCCCTATCACTTCACTCACCGGTCTTATCGATAGAAGATATCAAAGGATCAAGCTAAATTGTTAGTACCAGAGGCGTTAGAATTTGATTGGTGAATGGCTCTTGCTCTTCGAGGCCCCTTAGCAGCTCTTATCTGTTGTTGAAGGCACAGTTCACGGTATTTCGGATACCCCTTTAGGTAGAAAATTTCAAGCGTTGATTTGGAGGAGTACATCGGTGAAGAAGAAAGCGAGAGGATCCATTTACTTCAAAGCTTTTTAAATCAAAAATAGTGGAAGTAGAGGTTCTACGAGATCACCGTGACGGTAATGGCATGGAAGGGGTGTTTGGACGAGTTTCAAATTGCTGCCATTGCTCAAAGGGATGACTACATCAAGCCGTAGTTGTCCGAAGCCACTGTTGCCATAGATTATGACGAATTGTTTGAACGTCCTACATGGGAGCCTCTTGAGATAGTGCAAGCCGTTGAAACTCGTCCACGATGGGTGTGGCATGCACACGATACTATCTCAGCCCCTCTATTGTGCCCTATCCAGGACGTTTTTCGACCTTATAATGGCAGGTATGGTGTAAGAGGGAGCTTCGAATTCATACTGTAGGGAAGGCTCAGGAACCATTTTNGGGGGGGGGGGGGGGGGGAGGAGTCAAAACTTCCAGGTCAAACACACACACCGACAAAACAACAGAAAAACGTAGCGATCATTTATAGTAGGATAATGCATTGATCGGGGTTTTCAGGCAAAGTTCAACAGATAAGTTTGTTGTATGTTGCATGCTGTATGCTGTTATAGCATATAAGAAATGCGATCTGATCCGTCGAAAACTTTCATGCCTCGTAGCGGTTGCAATATTACAACAGTTACTGAAACGAATTCTCAGCTCCTTATTTATGACTGCTTTGAATAGACCTCTATCACTGTCTTCGTCCTTTCCTTTCTAAGACCTACACCATCACCCGTTCGTATGAAGCCTATTGAGGTTCATGACTACATCGCCAACACCGAAAAGTTGGAAACTGAGTGCCTTCTAGAGTCCCTCATCGCCTTTATTTAGAACACGCATCGACACTCCAACAGACAGACCAAGCGAACCTATAATGCATAGTAAGGTAATCATATTCATTGAAGGAAGGGTTCGTCTTGGCTTGGGAGACTTCATCTTCTACTCCTTGCTGGTAGGACTTGCAGCGGCTAACGACGACTGGACAACTACAGTTGCTTGTTATGTGGCCATCGTCACCGGACTCGGATTTACAATGCTTCTCTTAGTAATGTGAATCCTTTACTATTATCCTGACTTTTTATGAAACGGTCTCGTCTGTCCGTCTGTCTGTTTGTAATAAATTTGATATTGCCTGAGGAGGTGTGGCCAAGTCTGATGATGGGTGGGGCCTAGGAGAAGTTCTGCAGGACACATGTAAGTCAAGGGAAGCTCCATTACCGGGGAGCGAGACATACATCAGAATGAGAGATGCTATGGAAATAATTTATTTTGCTCTCAGAGTAGCCCAGGCATGGGTGAAATTTTGCAAATGTTAGGCAAGGATTTACCGATACGACCTGCCCTACTCAAGAAATTGTTTTCAAAGTTAGCGGTAAATACTACTAAATACCTTCATAAGTAGCTTCAACTAAGGCCCAAATGCAAAAAAATGCAAAAATAAGCAGTTTTCAAGCCGTGCCAGGCATCCCTGAATTGGCCTACGCCGATTGAATGTGCTCCCGTAAGGGACGCTCTTTTCATGCGAACTCATAATCTTTTTTTAATTATTGAAAATTTTGAAAAAATGCTGGGTGGCTTCTAAAGCAACAGTGCCGGCCATTTGTGGTCGTCTTTAAATTTTGGTTTTGCAGAGCACAACATGCGCTCCCGGCTCTTCCGATTTCCATACTGTTCGGAGTATTCACGGTGTTCTCCTCGAGATATATCCTATCAGAACTCGTTCTTGCACTCAATAGAAAGCTTATTTTTGTTTAAAGTCGATGTTCAAATCAAGGGTCACCGTAACTGATGGCTAACAAATAGGGTTCTCATTATACGCATTAATTTTCAATTGGATAAAAATTAACCCACACCGTTCGATTTTCTGCTGTGGTTGAAGCTGTTTCCGTATAAGCTTATAAGTATTAGGATAATAAGTTAGAACCATTTTTTTACTAGTGATCTCAATTCAATGCAGAGGGTGTGAAGACCTTAGTCGGCCAGGTTAGCTGAGAACATTTCATTTTCATTGCTCATGGCAGGTGGTGGATAGGGGAGGTAAATCGCCAAGCAACACTCGCCGGTACGTGCCCAGAGTCTAAAAAGGATATAAGAATAGGGGCTCCCCGTTTCTGCTGTGCTGCTGTGCTGGGTCGATGTACTTGTTTCTCACATGTATTTCCATGCATACGTTTGTGAGAAGCATGCAGGTGCAGCTGGTATACGCACATCGACTTAGTCAACGGCTTGCATTCCAGTGAATGGGAAGTTTTCGGAAGGCGATTTCTCCCAATCAATGCCTCACGTCCGCTCTGGGATGTGGCCATCCCGAGTCAACGCAACCCCCACGTCAGAGCGTGGAGAGCTACTCGTCGACACTCTTCTGCCAAAAACAGTAATACAAATGAGCTTCATTTAAATGAACCCGAAAGAGTCTCCAATACGGCAGCGTTGGGTAGAATCGTTCGGGAAAGGCTGCTGAATCTCAGGATCAAACCAGGTTGCCCGAAAGGAGAAGGACTAAGTCTTCCAGCGCACGAACGCTTGCATCGGAAGCGTATATCGAAAACCCGATGATGCATGCTAGGAAGACCATTTACGAAGTCATCAGGGTGGGACTAGAAGGCATCGTTCTGAAACTAGAGAGTAACTGTTCCTAGGAGAATGCGATAGCAGGGCGGAGGCGGTGTAGATATCCGCGTCAATATTAGGATTCGTGCAAAAGCTTGGCAAGTCAAGTCGGGCAGCTGCGATTAACAAGGTGCGGCTCAGCTCTGGCTCTGACAATCTTCGGTGCTACGCACTATATCGAGCTACGAAAAGCAGCTAGAAGTGTTTCACAAGAACTTGAAATGGCTCTTCAGGGAGAAACGTACATCCTTCAAGGTCACCGTCGGCTATTTCAATGCCAATATTAACCCAAGAAGATTGGCTGAAGAGCTACATAAAACAATGGAGTGACCAGGTTGAAAGGTTGCCCGAGCTCACCATATCGACCCGCACCATCCATGGTAATTTGGTTTGGTGGCAGTTCCAGAAATCCTTTCACGTGCGGTGGGCATGGGAGACACCGAACAGTTCCACAATAAATTAGATCACATCATCGTCAGACGTGTTTTGCCTGACAGAGGTCGGTGTTGTTCCAAAGTTCTTCACGGGATCAGACCATCGTCTCATCCGCGCTAGACTCCTTTTTTCAGGGCGTAGAGAGAGAGCTGCGAAGTTCAGGAAACGAAGCCTGAAGACTGTTGTCAACTGGGATCACTTCTCTTCACTGGCGATTTCGTTGGGAGATTTCGTTAGCGACAACATCGATAAAGATTACGACCGGCTCGTCGAACTTCTTCACGATTGCGCCAGGAAAGCTGAGAGTCTCAAAAATGTCAAGGAAAACTTTATTCGAAGACTGTCGAGCTGATACGCTGGCGTGGAATCGCGAGAGCTGCAGTCAATAACCAACTAACGTCCGAACTTGCGAAGCTATCCAGGGGAGCGGTAAAAGAAGATGTGAAATGGAGAAGAGCAGCAGTTATGGACGAAGCTGCGAAGGCCAGAAAAGGCATTCGCAAGCCCGCCGCTGCTTCGCCAATTGCAAGAACAATATGACTTTTCTAAGTCATGCAACAATTACTGCATCTCGAAGGGCAATTGAGGTCATCTATGACTTCTACTCGGATCTCTTCAACAGCCACGTTTACCTATCACGTTGAGCAAGACAAGGCTTCGCTCCTTTGGTTCTCCCTTCGGAAATACGACTTGCCATAGTAGATGAAGAATTGAACGTCCCCTTCGGAAATACGACATGCCATAGTAGATGAAGAATTGAACGTCCGGCATCCGGTCCTGACAATATCACGCNCTCTAGAGAGTCTCTCACCAAGCGGGATGAGCCCCGCCAGAATTCTGGATGAGCACATCACGCGCTACCTATCGGGACGCAGAATGCTTACGTTGCTGTATAAGAAGGGAGACTACTGATAATTATCGCTCAATCTGCCTGCTGTCTGTAATCCGTTATATAAGCTTTTCACAATCAACAGGATTGGCAGAATGTTAGATGAAGGACAGCCATGCGAGCAAGCAGGGTTTCCATTAGGGTTTAGAGCAATCAAGCAATATTATCATCTTTGTTACAAGGGTCTTTGGGGTATCGCGAGAATACAGTATGCCGTTATGTCTGACTCACATCGATTTGAGGAAGGCTTCAGGCAGAAGCCGTAAGGGTAGCCCTGGGCAACTAGGATGCTCCTACTCAAAACATAAAGGCGCTTCTGGGCTCTAGAAAATGAGATTGTAGTCAGATGCTATGGAAAAAAGGTGGTGAAATCCTCGATGTGGGCGGAGCTTGCACTAAGGTGGGCGAGACTACGATGCGCGACGCCTAAGACTCAAACATTATGTGGGCCGCCACTCCATTCGAGTTTGTTGTGGCCTGGAGCGGTTACTGCTAAAACTTCTTGGATGTTTTATGAACATCAAGACGGCAGCCATCCCCGAGAACAGACTTCACCAAGAAGACTCTGAACCGAATAGTGGTATTTTTGTGTCCGACAAGACGATGGATGACAGGTATTTGCAAATCGTTTAGCAATCACCAGTTGTTACGATTATCAGAATAGCGGTGAAATAGGCAAGGAACGCATGATGTTGAGCCTTCTCACTAAGCACACTGCCAAAGTTTTACACGTACAGCTTCCCCTGCTGGCTAGGGGGTTCGGTATCTCCCCCCCCCCCCCCCCCCCCCCCCCCCCCCATCCTCCCACCCGAACACGGCATCGCGCTCACCGCACCCGCCGCGTATTGCAGAATTGCGATTGAAGATTGGAGCGCGCAATTTGTGGGTTAGGTAGCACTTTGATTATTCGAATTTGCTGGCCGCTCTTTTCAATTCCAATGCGGTCTTGATCATCCATAAAGGAGGAGAATTCATTCCAAACGATCTAGTCCAATAAACATAAAAACGGAAAAGAGAGAGAAACAATCAAAATCAATCGAAAATCAAAGGCAGTCAGTGAAAAATATTGCGTTCTATCGATTGGCGGGAGGCGGGCTGAGCACGGTAATTTCAGTTTGGAGCCGCGAGACAACTAAAAAAGATATGCTGCATGCCGCAAAGCGAATGTCCGCAACCGAGGAAAAGTTCCGTTACCCGCCGGCTAGGTAGCTTGCAAAAATGTCACGTACTCCATAAGATCCACACAGATATATTGAATTTTTATCAACCGTCATTATACGAGTAACAGTAAGTGGTCGCCACAATGATGCGAATCCTATGAACAAACAACTTTGATGAAAGACTAAAAGTACAAGATTATCTCTGCTTGAGCACATGAGTTCGCCTACGCATTCAATAAATACTAAAGATAACCGATCAAGTCATTGCAATACACATACAACTTGTAGGATATGCTGAACAAACAGAAATGGCAATATTAATCCTACACTATTGGATATAATGGCGAAATTCAGCTACTCGTTTTTATGGGTACTTTATAAATAAAATAAGTATATAATATAGTCTCTACAATACGAAGCTATACAATAACATTGTCTTCCTAGGTGGTGAATTGTGAACAACCGTCATTTTGGAAGTCTGACGAAGGAAACACCACCGTAAGGAAAAATGGAAAAAGAAAACGGGGCAAAGACCTAGGATCGAGATCCTACCGTAGATCGATGGGGTTCAGGCTCGCTTCACTCGTTTCTTGGCGCACAACTGAGCGCAAGATTGGGAACATGCAGGTGCACACTGGCGGGATTGCTGGCCGGCGAATGTGCACTGACCCTGAAATTACACTTTAATTATATTTTTGGGAACCAAGTTTGAGATTGTGGCATCAGTGTTAACGTGATCATGTTCAAGGACAATTTCACCTTTTATTTATTATTTGATGAGAGAAATAAAAGAACAATTTGTTCATTGGGACTGGCAACATGTTTCGGCCCCTGCCAGTTTTTTCGCATGGTGCGGCTTGCTCCAATGGCAGCCTTACCATCAAAACGGAAAACCGAGGTATCTTCGTAGGATAAACCGATGGTGAACAAGGATAACACGTGGGTTGTCGAGCTCCTAGACAGGCATAGTAAGGATGAAGAAACCGGCTTTGTCGAAGCACACATTCAAAGAGGGCATGGTATGGAGCTCGTCAAAGCGGAACCAGTTACATTAGTCGTGACTCTTGGCGAGGCGCTGAGAGGGTTTTTGTCTTTTTTAACTTAATACATTGACGACCGCGTGGCCGGTGGGATACACCATATCGTGCTCCTGTGGTATTTATATTATTTACCAGGTGTTCTCATAATTTTTCATGTTCTTGTTTTCATGTTTTCAAGTATCAGATAAACTCACAGCCTAAAGAAAATCTTGAGGCATAGTGGTCCAGGAATCATTCATTTCCAACTACAGTTATAAGAGAAATTAAAAGTTAATATGAAGACAATATAAAAGACGCGGTCGCCAATGGGTTAATGTAGCAGCCCAAGCCCAGTAGCACACAAACACGCAACTGATAGCCTGTCTTGACACCTCCCTGCGCCACTTCTGTCACAATGATCTCGCATATCACTTTTTTACTACCATTTTTGAAACCTTTTCTCTTGAAGCCTCCCAATTTTCCCGCTCTCTTCATCACCTCACTGTTGTATACGTTGATCTCCAAACGTTTAACACATGCAACAGCACCTACTACTTTGAGAAAATAATCTTTTTGGGGCAGTAACAGGACGCAAATCTTATACAAATTTCCTGTAACTCCCAACAACATAGGAGATAAATTAAATATGACGATTTGCAAAATTCGAGTAGTACCTGAATTGCTCGCAATTCCTTGCTAATAGAAGTCTCTCAACGCTCTTTTGATGGTGCCCTTTTTGAGCTAACGTTCTGGATGGAAAGGAGAGCTGCGTTCGTAAGCTTGATGGGGGAAGGAGAGGGCTGTGACTTTCGCATCATGTTTTCCCACAAGTCATGAAAAAGCATTGGGAGACCGGAAGCTGAATCGCAACTTACCTCACTGCAACTCAGCCTATTTCACTTGCTCGCTACAGGTATCACTACATTCATTATCGAACGGGTCAGGAATGGCTGCTTTCATAGTCCGCCGGCNNNCGCCGGCACGCCGGCGGACTATGAAAGCAGCCAATGCGTCTGATTAGCTGTCGGTCAATGTGTGACCCTTGGCATTTTCACCCTCGAATCATGGATAAGAAACAAGCTCCTCAGAGCACATTTTGGATACATAGCTTCAAAACGAGGAAAAAAATCAGATGGGAATTAGTACATGGGAACAACTAGACTTAGAAGTAGAACATACCTCCTACTAACAACTACTATTCAACGGTATTGGAAGGATACCATGCTACCCTTGCTATTAGAGGCGGGTTTCTACCAAACTGCGCCGGTTCAACTGCACTGTATCCGAACATATTGGATAGACATACCTTGCATACAGTTTCACATGCGTTTTCACAGCTTATTACTGGGCAAGCCGTCTCGCATTTTTGTACGCAGTCCATTCCACATCCAGGGTCTGAACAAGTCGAATTTTTGAATTTAGAGAACCTATCTCTTCATGGATTTTGAGGAACTAAAACAAGCCAGGACTGAGCTCAAACATGGAAACAATGTGCGCCATCCTTCAAACGGATTTTTTCTTCATTGGCATGGAACAAATGAAAAAACAGTGGTGTTCACTAATACTACCAAACACACCCTTGTGAAGACATTCCTTCGTACATTGTACATCACATGGTAAATTGCAATCATAGGCAACGACAAGCTTCACGACGGGTGTAGGTGCCGAGCCACACAATTGTTGACAGCTAGCCTCACATCCTAAAAAAACTGTTTTAAACACACACTGACTTGGACACAGGAGGGAAACTGGCGAATTTCAT